AGAGAGGCGATATTTCCCTGCAATAGCACAGTCGTCGACCGGGATCAACTATACGTACCGTATCGAGCAGGCCCACGCCACAGAAATCCAACCGCCTCAAGTTATTAGCGAAGCTGACTGGGATGGGAAAACGCTTATTACACATTACCCGGTTTCAAAGGCCCTGATTCAAGGTGGGACGTGGCCCCTAGTTTGGGCGCCCCTCGTATTAACTTTTAATTAGGTCTTAAATTAGGGACCCTAACTCCCTCGTACTTATTACACCTCCCTAATTAAGATAGGGTCCCTTGAAATCGAGTAAGTGTAAGAAGCGTTAACCAGTTTGCGAGCAAAACTATCAGGATTTTTTCAGTAAAGGCCATTATTATTATTATTATTATTATTTCTTGTACTCGACTGGTGGTCGGATATTTGGAACCAGGTACGGGTCTAAGCCAAGTATTCTGGTTCGGTTGTGGTATTGTGAGGGGATGTGAGTGAGTGGTGATTTTTTGTGGAGTTTGTGAAATCAGGTGTATTTAAGAAACGGCGGACTATTGAGCATGTGTCTAGTACAATTGACTTTTGTAGTGATATGTAGGTTTTAGGGTGCAGATCTATCATTTTTAAGGCGGTATGTAGGGTTTTCGGTATGACACCAGTTGACGAAATTATAATGGGGACTATCTTGATGGTTTCTTGGTGCCACATCTGTTTGATTTCGTCTGCTAAAGGTATGTATTTTTGTATTTTTTCAGTGTGTTTCTGTTTTAAGTTGTTTGTATTGGGAACGGCAATATCTATGAGGTAGGTGGTCTGTGTAGATTTAACAGTTATTGTTATGTCAGGTCTGTTGCTATTATTATTATTATTATTATTATTATTATTATTATCAGCCTGTTTGTTCCTCCTATACAACTTTTGGCCAAGACCCTCCCCCTCTTTTTCCATTGATTCCGATTTTAGCCAACATCTGACCAGTCCTTTAAAAAGGAGTACAAATCATCCCGCCATCGCCAAATAAAGATTATTTTGATTTTGATTTTGCCGACGTGGTTTGCTGCACATATTATTTTAAAATTATTAAGACATGTGCGATAAATTTTGCTCCTCAACGTCTCGGTTTAAATTCCTGTGGCTTTAATTTTGAAAATTACTTATGAATGTTTAATAGAAATACATCTCGCTAACGGTAAAGGAAAACATGCCATTAAAACATGCACGTCTTACGGCCGCTTTCTATATTCAATCTCAATCCATAATTTGCTATCTAAGCTTGAATAATCAATCCAAATCCTATTTTTACTATATTTCAATAACCGATCGATGGATCGTTATTCCGATCTTTTGTTTCAATCCATCTGTGGGTCATTTTTAGATTGACATTTGTATGGTAGTGACAGTTGTGCGCTTTCAATATCCAATCCATAGTTTTGACAAATCGGATTTTGCACGTGTTCGATCTATAGTAGCGATCCTCCAATTTTGACCGATTGTACTGTGTAATCGTGTAAAAATGAAAGTTATTTTTAAGTGATAGCGACTGTGAACTTGAACATTTGCTCAGTTATCGGACTGGGATAATAGCGACAGCGACCAAGAGCAGCTTGTGTCCTCAAGAACGTTTAGGCGTATAAACTTCATGGTAAGTTTAACTGATGCTGAATTTACATCCAAATTTAGGCTGAACAAAACATCAGATGAATTTGTTTTAACTGAATTAATGCCGTTTATCAAAGTTAAATCAAAACGGTACTTTTATAATTTAGATTATTTATAACGTCACGAATACGAACAAACATCAACAAAACATAAATTGACACCATAACATTTCGCCGCTGCCGCCGCGCGCCGTCCCTTCATTTTTTTCCATCCTATATGGCCGTCCCGCTCGTTTGACAATAAACGTTCCGTTCTGTTCCTGGAAACACGTTATTCTTGCCGTACTTACGGTTTAAATATTTTATACTTGAAAGTTTGCAATTAATTTATATTTTTGCCAAATCACATGTATAAATAAATTAATCTTAGAATCATAACCACCATTTTATTTACTAATTCATGTAATGTCTTACGAACAAGTAGTAGATTTAAATCAATTTTTAATTTGAGTTTGAGGTCATAATATAATGTCCTGGAAAAACTCCTACAAGAAGACCCATGCTTAGAAGTGGAGTATGCAATGGGTTTATAATGATAATGATGATGACGCATTGACTGTGACCGCGCGAAGGTCTCTCGTGGAAGTGTTCTTCATCGTTAAAAGAAATAAGTAAATATTCGAATGTACCCCTGCTTATTATTATTTTTTCAAATACTTTAGGAAGAAGCGTTAGGGCTCGCTGTGAAAGAGTTCATCTAGCGAAGTACTGCCACATTACTTATTTCTGCCGCCAAGCAGTAATGCGAGGCTTACTGCGTTCCAGTTTTGAAGGGTAAGGGTGCTGGTGAAATTACAGGCACACGACTTGGTAACTTATGTCTCAGAGTGACGGACGCAGTGGCAGTGCTCCTCAGATCTTTGCGATTTAAGACTCTGAGTGGCGCTGCTTCTGTTAGACGGGCCGTCCCGTCACATGATATTATAAAAAAACTTTAGGAAGTAGGTTGCTAGTTAGGTATGTTGAGCCATCCCTTAACAAGATATAACTGTCAAAATCAATCGTACTTTACATCAGCAGCATCGTTCATAGTTGCAATTTAAAATAATTCAGGTTCTTTCGTCGTATCTAGCCAGATAATTTTTAATAAAAATGTATTAATAGGGCTGTTTTATCTAATCGCTTTGAGCACTTAAATAAAGACTACCGCCCGTTTGACTCACTCTTGATTCAAGCTTAGTTTGGTGTACTCTACGTTAAGTATACAATATAATACATGTACTTACTTGTACAGTCGACTGATAAAACAACGGGTGAGCCTACCGTAAACATAGGCGCCCTCATAAACCTCTACATAAGAGCCACTCTACTACTATATTTACTGTCATTATTGCGAACACGATATACAAATACAAAATTATGTATTTACTCCTCACAAAGCAACGCATATTAACAATAAGGTACTAAGAATTAGTTACATTATGATAGGTCTCCAGGCACCCACCCCTCGTGTAGTATAACCTGGTACAAACACGGATTTACTATAACACATTAAGCGGATAATGGAGAACAAGAGAACAAGAGAGACTACAGCGCACACGCACGCACGCACGCACGCACCCACACACGCACGCTTCCACGTACGCACGCACGCAAGCACGCATCGTACGCATCACACGCATCGCACGCTTCGGTATCCTCATATTTCAGTATTTGAAGATAATTAGTCACTTTCTTTTTGCATTCATATTTGTTATGATCGGTGTTGGGCAAAATTTAATTGTTCTGCCAATTGAAGATTAACAATTAATTAATTGTCAATTGCGAAACAGCAATTAACGCTTGATCAATTGTTAGTTGCGAGAACCGCAAGTAACAAAAAAATTGCGTATATCTACAATTAACAATTAATCATTTTTCAATCTTTTCAATGTTTTTAATTAACAATTAACAATTAAAACTGACAATTATGATAAATTTATATTTATATGGGGGTGGGTTAGAGGGTGGGTTAGGGGGTGGGTTAGGATGGGTCAGGGGGTGGGTTAGAGGCTGGGTTAGGGTGTGGGTTAGGGGGTGTGTCAGGGGGCGGCTCAGGGGGTGGCTGAGGTGGTGGGTCAGGAGGTGGATTAGGGGGTGGGTTAGAGGGTGGGTAAGATGTGGGTTAGGGGTGTGTTTGACCGTGGGTTAGGGGGTTCGGGGTGAGTTTAGGGGGTGGGTTAGGGGTGGATTAAGGGGTGGGTTAGGGGATGGATTAGGTGATCGGTTACGGGGTGAGTGAAAGGGTGGGTGAGTGGGTTTGAGTGAGTGGGTGAGTAGGTGGGTGAGCGGGTGACCGGCCCCCAACCGGCCCGCCAACCTTCCCCCAACCGGCCCCCCAACCAGCCCCCCAACCGATCCCCCAACTGACCCCCAACGATAGCGATAGTATCTACATTAAGAGTACTTCCGTCAACTTCACAATTGGGTAATTTTCCAGTTAGTTTTCTGTACCTAGTTTTGGTGACAAATTTTATTATTTCAATTTTCTAGAACATTACCATTTAATATTCGAGTATAGTAAGCTGAAGTATTATTTAATATTTCACGATAATGTACTCGAATAAATATTGCCACCGAAATTAAGTAAAGAAATTTACCGAATTCGATTTTTCGAACGCAACAGGAAGTGAGCGTGCCTACAGCTCCGGTACCTATCTGGAAAATAGTGAGGGTGCTGTCCGTGCACCCGGGGCAGCTCATCCAAGGCATTAGCCTTTTGAGAACCTGATGAAGTACGTGCAAACAGACTGATCTGGGGTCAGGACCTGACTGAAAAGATTCCTGTGCAGGCTTGCTCTCACAGGTTATAGTGCAATTCCCGCATAACCAAAAGGTTTATAGGGAAGGTCATTCATTATAAACAAAACTTATATTGAAAGATACGGGGCTGACCTGGCACTGAATTAATTAGCTCTTTCGACTCGCACCAAATCATCAATGTTGTACTCTTCTTTTCTTATATCGTCAAAACAAGCTTTTTGTTTGTTTTAAATTATTATAAAAAGATGTTGTAAACACTGGAAGCATTTCACGCAGTCTTCAGTGTTGCAATTTACATTGATCTCGAGACCCTGTGTGTAAGAGGTGTAAATTAATATGTCAAATGACTATGACCTTAAACTTGATCTAAAAATTTACCTATTTGTAGTTGTTTTAGCTTCTTAACTATCTAGTAAAAAACTGAAACCAAGCTGTGATCAAGAATACCTATCAAAAACGTTGGTGTAAAACCCTGATAACATAGACAAAATTACACATTTTAATTAATAATGACCCAAAATTGAGCAATACTCAACTCAATTAGTATTTTACATAATGCTCAAACAACCGGATTCCGAACGTCTAAAATAGTAAATAAATGACAGTAGATGTCATTGCCTGCTGTGCGTTGTGCTGTTTTTGTCTTGGAGTTTATTGTTTGTAAAACTAAAATGTAAAATGAGTAGACCTTAATTCCATTTTGAATCATTATAAAAGTAAAATAACTGTCAAACGTCAGACATATTTGCAATAATGTCGTCATTTCATGAGAGGCAAAAAAATTTGTTTGCGCATCTAAAGGATGCGGAAGATCAGTGTGGCTTTTCGAAATCTAACAAGGCTACCGACGTACAAGATTACGGTATAGTCGATAAACGAACGTACAGAAAACTAAAACACGAAATGAAGCAGTTCAGAGGCCGAGAAAGCATATTCAAAAGGGAAGGGGCCAATATAAAGCAATGTTTAAAGAACAGAACCATTCCTGATCACATAAAGAACCCTAAAAACTGGGTCTATTACTCCCTGTCAGATGTTACCCCAGATCAGATGTCAGATTCTACAAATACAGCCACAGCACTTGCTTTTATCAGAGAGATGGAAGCAAGAGATGCAAAATTGAAAATAGATCACCCCGACATGGATGAAACAGGGTTGTTCAAGAAACCAACTTTCCAGTTTTCTAAAACTATAAAACAAGAGAAGAATGATGAAAAGGCTACTTTTAAGAGTAGCAAGGTTATAATGCCAGAGTATGTTGTTGGGGTTACAAAACAAAAGAAAGCAAAAAAGTTGGTAGCAAAAAAAGAAGAAACAGAATTTAAGAATGAAAAGAAAGTTGAATTGAAACTGAATCATTTGTATGATGATGAAGATGAGAATTAGCTCTTAATGTTTGTAGCACCTAATATTGTAACTACTTAATTTTAAGTCCTTATATTAAATTATAGTAAAAACAAGCTTTTTATTTCTGTAGGATTACCAACTCATTTTGTATAAAACGGTATTCGTACCATCACATTTATTGGTGAATGATACCCACTGGGATATAGATACAACCTTAGAATAATAATGCATAGAGTGATAGTTTCATACCAAATGAACTGTCACAAGTAAGGCAAAAACCAAATTCATTAGGCTAGTTTTAGTAGTAGGTTAATTTTCGGTTTTAGTGAATATTTATATAAAAATACAAGTTGAAACGCGTTATTTCCTTGTGGAATGTGATGTTAGTATCTATTTTATGTTTGTCTGACGTATTTTTACACTCATTTACCGCACATTTCGTCACTTTTAGCTAAAATTCTTGATCTGTTCACAGTGCAAGTTGACCTAGAGCACTGAAGGCCCGCCCGCTCGTGTAGGTCCTTTTGGCGCGCTTCAATTTGCCTCACTTAGCGTGTGCGGACTAGGTTTAGGTTAGGTTTAATAGTTGTATCCTTGGAATAATAACGATTCCAAGGATACAACTATTGGTACTGACCAACAGGTGTATCTACAGCATAAGAACTGTTAATGTTATCTCATAATCCCAAAAATGACATTTAGCCATAGTCATTGAGCATTAATGAAAAATAAAGATGAATTTTAGTATTTTAGGCTATCTGTTCAAGGGCTTGGGTTGTTTATGGATCTGTGTCATATAATAACACAGTAATAGCACAGTAACAATTCATAGTAATATTTATATAAACATAACATATATAATAACAGGTAACATTAATTGATAACACAAGAAATGAATTTTAAACAATTATATTATTATGTTGTTAATTAATTAAATGCTTTATTTACAATCAACACTGTGATATAACAGCAGATTCAGACTTGATTTCCATATTATCAGATGTCTCAGATTTGTTCTCCGCAAAAGCACTGAGGTCCCTCATCATGGAGTATGCATCTTCACCATCAGCATAGTACTTAGGTTCAATCTCTAGAATCTTGAAGCCAAGTGAATTGGTGTACAAGTTCAGAGCAGCCCGGTTGCTTTTTCGTACATGTAGAGAGACATATTTTGCCTAAAAACATAGGAAAACATTACATGTAAGTTTATTATTATTTTAATTAATATTAATTAAATGATAATATTTACACATCTGAACTTAACTCCCCTTAACAAAAAATGTGCAGCTATGCAGATATTAACAATTTATATGCATCCAGGATCAATAGCACTGTCGTGCACTTAGTAGGTTGAGCCAATTGTTGTAATACATTGCAATCCCCAAATGCTTATACAACAGAATATAAAACAGAAAGGACTGTGGATTACTACTGTGGATATATTCGTTCTTCCCCATACCTGGAAGCACTCCACCATAGCTAAAGAAGCCTGGTTCATCAGCTTTTGAGCAAGACCTAGACGTCTGTGAGACCTCTTCACAGCTAAGGAGGTTATGTGTCCATGACGATTATCCTCACCATCTTCTTCCATTTTTGCCAAAACATATCCTGCAGTAACAATGAAATGACATATAATAGTATTTTCAGCCAAATATAAGACCAGTTACAGACAGTGTTATTTGCATGTTTGAATCAATGCAGTCGCAAGTTTGCATTGATGCAATTGCCTATAAATTGCAAGTGTAAAGTTTGCATCACTGCCAAAAGTCACTGTGTGTAATCACTGTAAGAGGCTTATATACTCAAAAGTGCATGATAGTGAGCTAAGTATATAGAAATTGTATATAAGCTAAGAAATTAGAAAATGTGTGTTTACTTTAATTTAAAAAGCTGTAAGTTTTATAATTGTTACACTTCTATTTACTTACAGGCATTTATCAACAGTCATGCTAAATGATTTGAATATCGCTGTTTATGCATAATTTAGAAACAATAAAATCATAAGTACTACAACTTGAGCCAATGTCATATTTTAGTTTAATATAATGATAGATTGAAGTATTCAAGTTCCCATGTCCATAGAACAAACACAGTCTTTACCAACAATATGGCCCTTTTCATCCTCAGCCACATAGCTGAGTTGTGGCCAGGAGAGTCCATGGTAAAAGTAGTACTTCATCTGGTAGTTCTCTGGGAGACACAACAGATTACAGTGCTGCATATTCATCAGGTCACTTGGGCGTGCACATCGAATATTCATTTTGATCTGAAATACAATACATAATAAAATCAAAAAGCATCCATGCTTAAAAAGAATTTCATTTTATAATTTATTGTATTGAATAATACTTAATGTTTTGTTTCAATCAGCTATGGTATTGTTCAAAACCCAATCAATAAATAATATGTGATAAAATTAGGTACTGTTAATGTCATTTACTATTACTGATTTTAAACATTGCACATTACCATGTTAATGATTTTTTAATAACATTCGAAAATACCTATTAGTTTATTCCCTTCTTGCTTTTCGAGTTTTACTTGGTTGTCTAATCTCTGATGCTGGTGGAGTATCTGACATACCCCCTAGGAGCTCCCTTACGAAACGGAACTTCGATAAACAACACTTCCACACTATGTACCAACCTAGAACAAAGGAACAAGGACATGTATTATAACTTCACACAACAAAAATTCAAAAACATATTAATGATACACACGAATGCTATTAATAGTTAGTCATCAGTGAATAAAGGGTGAATTGGTCTACTTACAAAACAAGACAAAGACAAATACTAAAAATACACTACATCCGAAGGTTACAATAGCTAAAATCACTTCCTTCATAATATTTTACTAAGCATAGGTTATTAAAATGAACACGAGATTAATACAGTCACTTTACCAGCGCTACTAATATCTCTATTTTATAACTATCAGTCAAAACATGCGTGTCGATTTATAACTACTTATTGGCTCAATGCTTTTGTGCTGCAGATGAGGCTAGCGCCATTTTGGTCCGTCATAACATGCAACTAGAATTTTGAACTTCTCGACTAGCACTCTTGCTACACTTGCTATTATATCATTGGTAAGACAAAATGTACGTACTTTAATTGGAAACGCGTCGTTTTTTGTTTCTAAAATCAACAAAAATTGAAAATCTATGAACATAACCTCAAAAAATTTGACATTTATCTTGTCATAGACAAACCAATATTTATTTTCTCAGCGTTCGTCTAGCAATTGGCAGTAAGACTACCGAAGGGAGGAATTCGTGACTTGCCGTGCGTACATACAAGAGCCTACCTCTATGGCGTATTCACTACCTGCATATGCCATAGATCCGTCCGCCACGCAGGCATGAGGCTACTCACACACTACCCTGAGTCCACGTATGGAATCTTGCAGGACGCATTGAAGGATGGCTTGCACGCTGCGACTACATTCATAATCCTGCATTACGCGGCGGACTGCAATGTAGAATAATGAATTTGACCGGTCAACCAAGTAGCAATTTGCTTACTTTTATTCTATATAATGTATTTAAATCTTTATACATATAACTGACAGTATGGCTTAGACGCCTTAGCCTGTCCCGATCCCGAACGACAAAATTTTTTTACTATGAATAAATGAATGACTACTTTGACAAGACTTTGAATGAATAATGAATGAACACGAATGAATTAAAACAAAACCGCAAAACTGTGGTATGAATGGTTCTGTTTATGAAATTTAAAAACGGTTTTCTATTATAAATATTATCATTAAAATCATTATGGAGGACGACAGTCATGAAGAAAACCCTCCACCTACATCGTAAGTTAAAAGAAAATATTTGCCATGTGCCACAACCATACAATTTTGTCAATGTACCTTATTACACTGTAATGTTAATGTCCGTATTAGGACTTTTAATTACAAGCTTTAGCTTTGATAATTTTATATTGTAGTCTTAATTTACTTTGCAGGCGATTCAGAAGTCCGGCCTTCAACAAAAAGGAAACTTGCGCATTGCTCCAACTAATTGAGAAGTATAAAGTTGTTATTTTGAACAAATCGGTGACTTCAGCGGTTTGCCAAGCGAAAGACGCGGCTTGGACGAAGATTGCTAAAGAATTTAATAAAATGGGTGGGTAAGAGAGATTATAAATGCTGTTATAAGTGAGTTAATATTTAATTATTATTAACAGCCTCCACGGCTGAAGTTACCATTTTGATCTGCCACGCAGAGATCCCGGGTTCGATTCCCGGGCCGGGAGAAATATTTGTATGGCCTACATTTATTTCTCTCGTAAAGGCCCATTTAGATGGAGAGAGTTTATCGTCTCGAAGATATGATTATCGAAAGAATATAAAAAACTTTCCTCGTCTAAACATTTGCGATTATCGACCGTCCACGTGAGCGATAATCGCCTCGCCTTTCAATATTGAATGTCTCCATGTAAACGGAACTCGAAAGCAAAAATCGTATTTCGAGTTTCTGTGCCAGCGCGCGAGGGTGTTTTGGTTATCACTGCTTTTCTAAGACAAGAATTAATGAAACGAGAACGAAAAAAATTTGGATTAAGAAATGTTATAAAATTAAAAAAAAATGTATATTTCTCTACAATGCAATGAACTTAATATTATCAGCAGTTCCAAATTTGAATGATTTTTGCGTCATTTCGATATGTCCATAGTCAATACCGCAGTAATCACTGAACTAATTTGGATTAAGAAATGTTATAAAATTTGAAAAAAAAAATGTATATTTCTCTACAATGCAATGAACTGAATATTATCAGCAGTTCCAAATTTGAATGATTTTTGCGTCATTTCGATATGTCCATAGTCAATACCGCAGTAATCACTGAACTCGAATGGCGATTCTCGCACTCAAAACGATTCGAACCAATTTGTACGATAATCGTATGGACTTGAAAAAATGTCATACGAGATCGTGTTTAGACAAGTCGAAAACTCGTAAGCAAGAATCTCCTTACTACATATTTCTCCGTGTAAACAGTCGAGGAGGTGATTAAGTTGCTTGCGAATCTCGTATGACTTAATCGTAGAGGAAATTTTAGTTCTTGCCTGAATGTAAACATTATGATACGATAATCTTATGGCGATTATTGCTTACGATAATCGCCTACGAGTTTTCGTCACGAAGCGTGCGAGAAACTCTCCATCTAAATGGTGCTTTAGTTTGGGTGAAATTTGTGGTTATAGATAATCTGTGTTAAAAACTAAATGTGTGTCCATAGCACCCATAGGATAGGTATGTAGGGTTTCCCTGGTGTGTGCGTTATTATTACCTTTTGCTTTTGCCATAATAGCATTTGCATTGGTCATTATGGTCATCACCAACTTCAAAAAATTATAATGCCCATTTGTCAATATTTTGGAAACAGGTTTTGATAACCAAAGGCAATCTGAAAGTCTTCGCACCAAGTGGGAAAACATGAAAAGAGATGCCCGTAGGCTGTCTAAAGATGTCCTGGATAGCAAATTCGGCGATTGCAGTGTCACAGCTAGAATTGTTGGTCTTATATGTGAGGCAGATAACATGGGAGCTGTTGATGGACCACTGGATTTAATTGACAATGAAATTGAGTGTAATGATAGTGGTAAAGTCATTTTGTGTATTTATTTTTGACCCTTCTGTTATTTTAGTAGATATCACAACATCAGTACATTTGCAAGCATAACAATGTTTTGGTCTTGTTTCTGGCAATTGCAAAAATGGTGACAATATTTACATGTTTGTTTGTTGTATTTAATACAAAAATTAAAATGTCTTAAACATGTGTAATTATAATAATTTTATTTCTATTCTATAATCTTGGATTTTGTTACTAAAACTTCACCTGTATTTTCTTGCTTTAGTTCTATGAAAGAGTCATCATTAAGTTTTTCTTACATCTTCCAGAGTCTGAGGAGCAAAAAGATACAACTAATAACTTTAAAAATATATTTGATGATGGTGCTGAGAGAATGTCTGAAATTGAATCTGGCGGTAAGAAGTTTTTTGAACATATACAAATGAAGATTATTTTTATTATTAATGTCTACAATAAGGAAGTTTGTTTGTGTTGTGTTATCCACTAATGTACCTAAAATAATTTTTCAATGTTACATTTGTTCTTTTACAAAAATACTTAATCATCCGAATTTGTATTTCATCAATATTTTTTTGTTTCAGATGATGATGGTGCAAGGTATTGTTTATTTGTAACAATTCTTTTATATAATTGAAAGTATATATATACTTTCAATTATACATATAAAAAGAACTTTGAACTAATTAGTAAAAAATTGGAGTGTCTTTTTAATTGTAACAATTATGTAATAACAGGTGATGAGTGTGTACTATTTTGTGCTATGAAATAGCAATGAAGTTATAAAAAAATTGCAGAAACAAAAAGCGTCGTTCCCTAAACTTTTCGCCGCAAGAATGTCGAGTACTTCTGCAGTGTGTACGCAAAGAGAAGAAATTCGTTTTCTGTAAGGAAGCAACTCTCAAGGCTAAAGAATTAAAAAATTCAGCTTGGTCTAGGGTAAGATTATTTAACTACCCTATAGCAATTAGTGAATTTCCACTGTAGACAAACAACTACTACCAGTACATTAGCCTTTGTGGTCCACAGCTACTTGTTTAAAAGTGTCTTGTTGGCTAAAGATATAAAGACAGGAGGAAATGTAGGCAAAAGAAATAAAGACTCGATTTAACAAATATTTTAATACACTCTATATTTTGTTTGCTATTTGATATTATCTGCACATTCAGGACACATTTTTTTTTCAAAAATGAAATTTTCTGCTTACAGATAACAAACGCTTACAACAAATTAAGTCCACAAAAAAGGTCAACAAAAACACTACGAATAAAGTTCGACAATATGAAAACACGTGCGAAACGCGCTGGCGATGAATACTTTCGGGGCATTAAAAGAAAGAAACATGAAAAATTAGTTGAAGATAGTTTTAGCGTAAGTTATTTATGAAAAATGTACTAACCATTTTTGCTTTCTAGAATAGCTACCTATCTCAAAAGCACCAAATTCATCAGGATAATGTTTTAAAATAAACTAAGACAGGTGTAGCGCGCAAAGATAATTCTAATATTGTTATGTAATTGTTTTAACCAATGCGAAACTCAATGTCCCATTTACTATAAAATTTAACATTTTCTGTATAAATCATCGTATAGTCAAAAACAAATTATTTTGAAAAAAAATAGCAGCAATATGCAAAAATTAATATTAATAAGCATTAGTGCTTACAAAGTACTAATGCTCATTTCAATGTTTACCATTAAAAAATATACACATGAATCCAATTGCGTGTCATTTCTTTGCGTTGTCAGTTTTCAACTGTTGTATATTTTTAACCGACTTCAAAAAAGGAGGTCTTAATTCGTCTGTATGTTCTTTTTTTTTGTATGTATGTTACGCGATAACTCCGGTATTTGTGAACCGATTTTCATGATTCTTTTTTTGTTGGAAAGGGGATACTTCCGTAGTGGTCCCATTTCATTTTGAAGAAAAGCATCCACCTCGAAGGGTGGCTGTTCACGCATGAAGATTCATTTTTATAAATAGCGCCTAACTTTAATTTAGGAGCAATTACTTTAATGGTTGATTTTGCTATTTCTCCAATTCAAGGCGTTTTTCTCTCAATATACTTTGAGTAGTGAGAACCGATTTTTATTATCTCCAGTATTAAGCCCTGTATAGTGGCGAACTACGGGATATTTCAATAAAACTTAGCAAATAGACATAGTAATTCCACTTACTTTTGAGGTCGGTTTTTTAGTACTCTTTACTGAGATTATCATTACTTTCTTTTGTAATATAATAAATCTTTACTGTTTGCGTAACTGCTCCGTCGCTCTCACCTGTTCTGGCATCAAAGCCAGCAAGGCGATTTCTCGACCTCCCTCAACAGTTACGATACAGAAGCGTGCTTTTTAAATTCTGTGTGGTAAAACAGACATTCTGCCAAATTATGACGCCAAGTATACATATACACGTTTACATATTTTTAGCACACTTATGTCTTGTCTGAATAATTTTTTATATGTATTATGCAATGACACTATATGCACATGGGTACCATTAAATTTTTCGAAAAGTAATTTAATTAGTTTTTACATTGTGCTCATTGTTTTTACAATTCATTATTACAAATGCCACTACAACAGTAGCATCAATAACCCTTATCAGATGATTCTAATTGATTCTTTCAGCTATTAGTTTGTTCACTCTGATAACAAAGGTCCACAAAGATACATATATGTATATGTACATATATTTGACGGTCATGCCCGTATGATATTGCATTATGTTAATTTATGCAAATTATATTTCCTTTGCAGAAAATCAAGAAGGAACCAGTACGAGAATACAAGGTAGACTCCGAATCAGAAAACGCAGACATGGATGAAACAGAATTTAGCAACCATGATAGTCCATTGGAAACCTATGGTGACTTCACAGCTGACCCTCTCAGCTCTGTGCTTAACGGAGATTCTGGTATAGGTAAGATATAATCTTTACAAGATACAATACTTCATTTAAGAATTATCAACATTGCCCTATAACTATCTAAAAAATATGGTGTGACATTCGTATGTCACACCATAGCAGGAGCTGTTGTAGCCCAATGGGAGAAAGGTTGCTTCTCAATTGAGAGGTCGACGGTTCGAGTCCCTGAGGTGGGACTTATCTTTTTTTTTTCAAGGAAACTTTTACGCCCCATGCTGTAAAAAAAATGTACCTACACTACTATGGCAATTTCTTACAAAAGTTGGTACAACTAATCCGGATTCTAAAATTATAAAAAACCTTCTACTTTATGCTTCTTGGAAAAAATTATGGTTATTCTAAAGAGAGGCCAATTTAAATTAAAAACGTCACCTTTTCTAAGTGAAAATGGCTTTCAGTGCCTCTAAGGTTAATTTAGGCTTCATATCCATGTAGTCGGAGATAGACTGATTGGTAAAAATGGTATAATTGAGTGAGGCAAACAGTCTCAAAATACCACATTTCTCGACAAATATAGGAATTTAAATCAAGCTAATGAATAAATTATTATAATTTCATTACAGACTACATCAAGTGCTCAAACTGTTTACCAGCCTCAATTATGCCTTAAAAATGGCCTTTTCACCAATCGTGCATATCGTCGTAAATTTGTCTGTTGTACAGCTTCCGTGACTCTTCGGCGTAATTCGGCAACGTTTGATATCGGTTTTGCATAAACTTTTCCATTCCGACAACCCCAGTAAAAAAGTCTAGGGGTTCAAATCTTCAAAACCAAAACACAGTAATGCTCACATTACCATTTGGCGGCAGAATAGGTAAAGTGGCAGTACTTCCCTCGACGAACTCTTTCAAAATGAACTCTACTACTACTTAAAAGTTCCGAACATTGGTGAATGATTCGTAGTAATACCCTTTGGTAATGGTGAAGAAGAAGAAGGCAAAACATTGTAATGAAGCACTCTTTTGTATCGGAAGTGTCCAATAGCGCCGAGCCGAGATCCGTGGCCACCAGAGAGCCTTAGACTCGCTACTTATAATATGGGCAGGCCTCCTTCACTCGCTCAAGGTTCGCTCGTAGAATGTACCGACGTCGGCACAAGCGCTCAAACAAGTCTTTCGTTTATGAGCATTCGGCTCCGCGCGACTGCACACGGCGGGCCACGTTTTTTTCATCTCTCTGTACGCGTTCTTGGGTTCCTATTTCCTCGTATTGAGGGCCTGGTGTTATTAGTCAGATTTAGTAGGCTATTATAGCGTAGATATTTTCGATTTTGTATGAGAGTGATAGATGTATTTACATGACACGACCGATCAACTGAGGGCACGTTCACATTATGTCGTGACGACAGATAGTTGTGCAGTTTAAAGTGCCGTGTATATTTAAATGAAGATGTTCACACATAGAACAACACGATTAACTATCGTTCACAACTTTTTTGACGTTACGACGACAGACTGTCGTAACAATGGGAAGAGGTAGAACGACAGTCGTCTGACGATAAATAAAACGTTACGACATAATCGGAACGCGCCCTGATGGATACTACATAATGGTGGCACTAAAAATTCTCTTATTATCTTCTAGGCTGTTTTGAAATAAAACTGAGTATGTTCTACAGAGCACTTATTTGTTGTCTTCCTTCTTATGCCTATGAAATTGCATTGTTCTTTCAAGCTACTTTTGCGAACTATTTTCACCAAATGTTATCATTTCTCTTTCAGGTTCTACCAACATGGGTACTGTCAATAATACTGAAAATAAAGAAATTATAAAATTAAAAACTGAACTGTTGAACTATCAACTTGAAACTGCTAAGGTAAGAAATAAGGTTAACTAGGGTAACCAAGTGGTTACCCTCATGTTACCCTTAGCTTCCTAATACTAATCTGAAACTCATGTCTTTGCCATTTACTATTTACTTAGACTTCTGCGTACTTGGATGATAAAAATCCATGGTTGATGTATCATATTTGAAATAAATATTGTAGATGATAAATGTAGACAAATGATTATTTACAAAGAGCAACCTTCTTACTCCTTCTTCTCGGGGAATCTGTCTTACGAATGATTAGTAGAGTTTAATCAATGTGAGTATTTCAAGTATAATTTGAACTTATGAATTAAAGATTATTTAAGTTTGTGTCCAAAGTTCAGAATTCAGAATTGACAGATTTTAAATAGAATTGAGATTCGACAGTTCACTTTAAACTTCAGGATTATCTGCCCTTCCAGCAATATGATACATTCTAGGAAATCAATGTTACAGTAGTATTTAAAATAATCGTAATTCATATATTACAGTTAGAAAGACGAAAAATAGAAAATGCAATCCAAGAAGAGACAAAGAACTGCCAAATCCGAGCAATAGAGCGTGCATTAAGACTGCGCACGGCGCGATTGGAAGCCATCGCGGCCGAAGCGCGATTGCCGCGGGCGCATCTAGCACTACATTTTACGCCCGAGGAAGCGCACGCGCAGAATTATCTGGCGCAGTACCAGCACGAAATCAACTAATTGTAAGATGCTTATATAAAATGTTTGCGCAAATTACATTATGTAAGGCCGTGATATGTTCAAAAGCAACTTGGAAAACTACGGAATACATCTATTTATAATTCTTCAATGGTAATGCCGGCTACATGTGATCCAATGTAATTTGCGTATAACGTTTATTTTAATTTGATTCCAAATTGAGGGCGACAGTGTTGCGCGGTTTTATTGAAGTCGTAAAAGTTTAACACGCCCATAAAAATATTATGTCGTAACTCGCAATAGACACCACAGTAGGCTGACCGTTGTGTTCAGTTATAGTACTATTTTCTAAACTCCGAACTTCGAAGCTATTCAATTTTTATCAATACACCATCACGAACAAACTTATATATTTATTCTTCATTATCTTGAAATACGATTACGATTGGAACATAATAATCCCTACTTATAATAACAAAATAACCGATAATGGAAATGACGCAATTGCTTTCTAACAACAATACGCACAAAGTACCTGATGCCCTTGAAATATATGCAACAATAATGCACCTACACGAAATATAATACATTAATTATTTATTACACATGCATATAATTTATCGCTTTTTGTAAAATATATTTTTTATTTTATTTTGTTTATTTCGCACAAAACAATCAATCGAAACCTCAGTATTAGTTCCATTTAAAGAAGAAAATATTCCGCCTGGGTGGCAAACTAGGGGATGAATCCGTTTTCGCGCACTTTCCGTAACCAATTCCCATAAAACTTGGCAAATAGATGTAATTCCACGAACTTTTTAGATCGGTTTTTTTATATAAAAAAGTTTATTATTTTATTATTTAAATTATTATTTTATTATTATTAATACAAAGATCGAACACTCAGAAAAATACCTTCGATCCGGCTGGAGTCGAACCGACGTTTTCTAGCTTACCGTGCCAGACGCTATATCAACTAAGCAACGGAACGAACCAGCGAACCTCATGAATTTTTCTTTGTGCTTGCGTCGTGTCATTGTATTTGGTTTTTCAACGACTTTTTAGTCGTAGCGCCATCTATGAGAAATCTATGAAAGATTTATCACCCAGTTAGTACCTTTACAGCTACCCGTCCTGGCGAGAGATGTCGCTATTCACTGTATTTTAAATTTCAAAATTATTTTATTTTTTTTACTTTCAAAAAGTTTACCACTTAATATTTGAAATGCTTTTTTACCGAATTTAAATAGTTCTTTGAAATAGTAATGTTCTTCCGTTTTTATAAAACTATTCGAGTTTCACAAAAAGCACCGAACCATGGACTTTACAAAATAGTGCTATGCTGTGAATATAGTGAGAAGTCAGATATAATGCAGAGCACAAACTTGCTCTTATCAATTTCACGTTATTGAAATCACGGGATGAAAAATTTTATAAATAAATCGTAGTTACATAAGAATAATGCTTGTAAATCTGTGATGTTAAATAATGACTGATATTATAAAAACTAGTTTGTAAGGAGTACTTAGTGTTGTGTATTACATTATGCAGCAAAACTATGTGGAATATGATTTTCAATTCTTTGTTTCTGTGATTGGTTACCTAGTAAAATTTTAATATACTCATTATTGTTTTTTATTATGAAAATAATTACGCCAAATATACAGTTCTATGATATAATATTATATACGTAACTTTCATCTTACGTATTCATTCCTTTTGAGTTTTCATTCTACAACTTCAACTACCTAATTATCTTAGATAAGTACGTAATATTGTTTGCCTTCGAGAGAGTTCGCCCAGGGAAGTACTGCCACCTCACTTATTTTTACCACCAAGCAGTAATGTCAGTATTACAGCGTTCTGGTATTGAAGAGTAAGGGTGCTGGTGAAATCGCAGGCACATGGGACTTTTCAACTTATGTCTCAGGCTGAAAGGCACAGTGGCAGTGTCCTTCAGATCTTTGTAATTTAAAGCTCTTAGTGGCACTGCAACTGTTATGGACAGGCGTGTCGCTTACCACCAGGCGCACGACTTGTTCATCGACTCGTTCGACTTGGTATCATAAAAAAATATAAAGTAGGTACTTCAAGAGTTAGGTCAATCGGTTTGTACTGTGTTGAAATTAACTCTAATAAATTCATTTTAGCCTGTGTTTTAGATGGTTACTTGAAGGGAATTCCATAGCTCTGTTACATTTTTTTTTATAATATCACGTGACGGGACGAACAATTATTATTAATAACCACCAAATTAAACGATGTGGCTATAGAAAAACGTTGTTGCCACCCCCAACTTTTGAGGTTGACTACCTATTTGCTTTCACAGGTTTTGCAAAAATTTACAATCATCAAAAACAGATCTGTTCAGGCATTCTTTTTACTGTTTAAATTATGATAAGTTCGGAACAGATGTGACCGTAAAACAGAGATGGCCATGTTCAACTGATCGTCGGAGCAGGATAGAGAGAAGGCAGACCATTGCAACAGCGAAGGCGTAAAGGTGAGATTTGCTTTAGGGACAAGGACTACGATTGAGAATTTGTAGGGAGTCGAGAAAAAAGCACTCGGAAAGGAGCTCAGAGAAAACCGGTTGCACTCTCCCGAGTAGAGTAACCAAGAAAGTTGATAGGGCAACGAGAAGTTTGGTGGGTTTGCCCCAGTGCCCGTTCATCGGTAATGAAACAAAAAGAATTAGATACCAAAATTTGTATAGTTTACTTGATTGCGTTTTACAAGATGATTAAATTATAATTCAATATTAAAATTATTATATTTTTAGTAATATGCATTTGTACAATTCCTCTAATCCTAACTATTCTACCGTGTTTATGAAATATTTTACATATAACTAATATACATCATGCTTTTTACACTGATAAATTTGATCATACTCTACCAATTTGTATACAGTACAAAATGTAGGTACGCACATACAATACAAAAATGCTATTGCTCATAGCCTAACGTTACATTTACCGACAATTCGGCCGTTTCATTTCGGTGCTGTCATTTCTGTCGTTATGAAACCACTACTGTCATGGAGTTGAATATCTATGACAGAATGGTGATATCAGGTTGTAAGAACACCAAAGTTGCTTGTCTGAATGACGCAGGTGTAACGGTAAGCTACTTGTCTCTACATACGACACGATTTTCGTAATGAACAATTTAAGAAAAAAATTGTACCTTCAGGTGCCTAATTCAGTTCTCATGCTCTACCATTTTGTTCACTCATCCAAGTTTACCAATATACTTTGTTTCGCTACGTGTCTCCGCATAAAATCTGAAATCCCGCACAAATCCATGAAACAGCCCACCGATCTACGTTTGTGTGAATTCTGTGAACTCCAAAGCGTTGGAGAACTATTCGTCGAACATAAGTGGGTAGCTAGTGTTCACGATTGCAAATGAATCCCTGAAGTTCTATTTTCCTATTTTTATGTAAGTGTCTATATGTAGAAACAATTTTTAAGTAACGACAACCCACAATTACTGATGAGCTGACATTTACATAATAATAATTGAGCACATTGCTAATCATTGAATCTGAATTATTTTAATACACAATGCGTTAAGGAGGTAATTCAATCTTTGCATTTTGTTTACATGTACTGAAACCATTCTTCTGTGTAATGGACTCGTTCAGAAAATTATTGCAAATGAAGTTTTGTATTTTACCCTTGAAGGCATATTAGTCAGCAACGTAAACGCTGAATCTTATGACATCACCAGCATTACAAATCAAACACATCAAGTACTCTATATATGAAACTGTATGCCACCCGCATCTGATAGTTTTGCGAGGTTAGCAATAAAGGCGAACGCAGACTAGGTACTAACTTATTGGTCCGTGGAACTAGGAATATCATACAATACATTTTTAAGATAGACGCGGTTAGTATTTTATAGCTCGATGGATTAACCATCGTCTGCGTTGGCCTTAAAACGGTGATGGCATCAACAGGGTGGTGCGTCAATTGTTTATTATTGACATCATTCATAATTCAAATAACAATTCAATAATAGATAATTTTTGTTATCCTATAAAATCCATAAACACGCATGGCATTTCCAATAATACCTGCCTATCTGTTTTTATCGTTAGTAAATACTTCTAATCAATGTTTTCAAGACTACGAGGAACATGAAATTAGTTTTATCATATTTAATTCTATAGTCAGTTGCGATAAACTCTTATTTTGTTCACTCCTTTGCTTCTATATTTGATGTAGTCGGATTTCTATGTGGAACTACAGCACATAGGATTCTGACGTTGCCTACTAAGTCATAATAGTGCTCTATATGAGTACATCGGTAATAAAGATAGTACAAAAATGCAAATTAAGATCGCGTAAAATCACACGTACACTTCTACTCGTTACGACATTGATGCAAAAATTGTATAAAACTGGACGGACAACTCAACTCACTACAGCAAATGAGCATCCAGTAATTTAAAACTCGCTTTTCTAGTCTGGGAAGTTCAGGGCAGGTTGTTAAGGACACTTAGAATGGAGTGATGTGACACGTTTTGGCTTTTAACGGCTCATCTCCAGATATCTTTTAACAACCTCTCTGTGACTAGCCAAATTTACATTTCATAATTTGAAAAAAATCCTAATTGCAGCCTTCATTTTATTATTGTAATTGTACCTATATTTATGCTAACATTTAAGTAGTGGTTATCATAATATCGTTACTGTAATGGCAGTTTATCGTTTTGATGTATTATACGACCTATCTCAGGTTTCTTTGGTAATACTTGCGCGCTTTTTCGCTCTTCGTGCGTTTACTGGTAGTACAGCTACCTTAAAATACCCATTATTAACTGCATCCTAATACTTTAGCCACCTCATGCACATCATTACAACTTTTAACTGTACTTAAGTGGCAACCTTTTTCAGATATTCGCTCTTTTAGTACTAATGTTGTTGAATGTTGTGCATATTTGTAATTTTATCACCTACAGCACATTTGTGTTATCCCAAATAGATATCATAGAGTCGGCCCAATCGGCCCAATCGGTCGTACTTATGGCACATCAGTTTTGATATCTACTTGAAGTCTTTCTTCTGTGTAACAATTCGTTGACCATCATTCTTCAACCACCAACATTTCAATGTACCCAACGTTTAGAACCTTCAGATATCAAGCGCAATTCTAGCGCAGAAGTATGTTTATATCTGCAACGCGGCAAGTGACGGTGTTCCAGAGTTGTGTGGCGTTAGAGGTGTGAGAGGTGTTGTAGGCACCGAAGGGGCAATAGCTGTGGCAGGTGTCAGAGGTGTGTCGACAGACGGGGGCTCTGCAGAACGTACTAGAACTCTTCGCAAATCTTGAGCTCGCGCTGCTAAAGTCCTAGCTGCCTCAGCCATCTCAGCCACTGCAGCGGCACAGGGAAACTGTTGAGCTGCCGCTTTTGTCTTCGCAACAGTTGCAGCTAACGCGTCGGATAACGCGTCGGAACACCGAAGGGCCCTGGATTTCAAACCAGCATGTTGTGCACTCCTGGTGAAGAAAATGAAGATTTATTTCCTAAATGTTGTCAATAACTTACTAATTAGACAAGTCTGTTATGTTAATTCTTACCTATGAACAGTATCTCCAACGTGAACTATTCTATGTGCGCTTAGCACAACAAATTTGCCGTGCGCAAGGAAGACTTCAGGCGGCTGGCCCATCTCTATGACGCGAAGGAAAGCTTCCACAGCCGTAGAAAGATGAGCGCCATAGGTAGCAACTTGCGCCGCATAGAATACAGTTAGTTGCCGATCACCGGGAGGAAGTTTGGTCGCAGCAGTCACCGCACTAATCTGATAGAACAGATAAGGACAAGTGGCATTAGGGAGTCACCACATTTATCGATCCGGAATCGCATTTAACCGGTTAGAAAAAGCTTTAGGCCCAATTTATATTGCGGTGGAACGGAATGGAAGCGAATTCTTGCAACGATATTTGTACGCATATCGAGTATGCGCGAGAATTCCGCGGAAGATTTTGGCGCGTATCTAGTTTGTACGTTAACATTGAACATTAAGTTCATTATGCTATGTACAATATCGTTACTAAAATTCGCTTCCATTCCAATCTGCTGTCATATAAATTAAGCCTTATGGATTTGAAACTACGGATCTGAAAGTTCGAAATAAATTGATATTATTATTTTTGTCTGCTTCGCATGGGCGCTCCGCGCGGAAGCAAAACGCGGAACGTCTTTTTCGCTCTCATTGCTTGAAATACATTCTCATTCCTTACGGAAATTCATTACCACAGGATACAAAAATGAATATATATGTGTATGCTTATCCTATGGTATTCGTAATTTTCCGGTCAATGATGTAAGTGGTGTAATAATTAATTACACTTACTTCGCCAGCGTGATCTACATCTCTAACGAGTGCATCAAAGGAAGCTCGTAATTTGTCAGGCAATGCAGCTCTGATCTCTGCGTTCCGTTTGCCGATCGCCGCCCGAGACTCGAGTCGTACATAATCGTACTCTTCCGTCCATTCATGTTCTGGCGCTGGTGCTGACCGTCTATTTATAAAGAATGAAAGTTTAGATTTTTACTGGACAGACAACAACATGAAATATTAAAAACTCGAGAGAAAGCAGACCTAAATAATAACGATGCATTTCCTTGTATAAATGAAGCTGCTCTTCTGACGTCTTCTGTTAGGGATCGTGCACAGGCCACGAGCTGATCAAGCGCATCTTGCGTCCCGTCGGTAGGTTCCCTGTCTCTCTCTAATCTCTCTGGTGCCCAATCACCAGCGTCTAATGCGCTGGTCGCTTCATGTGTTATACGTTCTGCGTCTTTTAAAGCTTTCACCAGTGGTCGTAACTTTACAGCGATACCTGAAAATTATGTACAAATTATTGATTATCCAATTTGCATACTGATGTGTGTGTTTCAGTAGGTAGTGGTTTTGATCCTTCAAGGTGGATAGTCCACAATGATTCCTACCTTTGTCTTGCGCATCGTGAGCATTAGCCAGGGTGGCGTCGGCAAATACAGCCAAATCATGAAGTGCAGCACGCAGCCGCGCTCCTGCTACGCGCACGTCCAATATTCGTGGCCTTAATGCTCCTCTCCGTCGCCAACCTGGCGTTACGTAGGAAAGTAACCGGGACACTGCTGCGGACGCTTCCTCCTAGAATGATAAAATAGGCAAAAAGTGCTTATGCTGAATGTGAAGCCTGTGCACACTACTTACACTAAATTGTTAGAAAAGAAAGAAGAATAAATAGGACTATCAATATAAAATGAAAAAGTGAAATAGAGACTTACTTGTAACCTTTCTAATGCCTCCAATGCGGCGTCACAAGGAAGGGGTAAAGCTCGTGATCTTGGTACGTCATAAGTGCTGGACGCCGACGCCGCTGAATGGACCGAGCTACCGGAGTTGGCTGAGGCACTCGATGTCGCGGACGCTAAGGATCCAGTGCCACTGCAAGCAGAGTCTGCCGAGGCGGGGCGAGGTGCGCGGGGGGCGTCGTACCAATCACCCGCTGGTCGCGGGAAATCATAGTTTGCAATGCGCTGCACTGGCATTGGCGCTCGAGGTATATCGTAGTGTGAGCACTCTTCGATCTGCAAGGAAAACATTACTTCTTAAAACTTGTACCATTACGTGTTTGAATAGTGGTGGTGAATTTTCCTGACAGGAAAATCATTTGAACTTCATAAATCCCTAATGTTTAAAATAAAAGGGATTACGTAATGCGGTTTACCTTTGTAAATGCCGGCGACTGCTGCGTAGGCAGAGGTTGATGTGCGACTGGCGCAGGGTTGCGCGTACGCCGTCTCTGCATCGCGGCGCTCGAGTCGAACACGCCCGCCACTATCCGCAGTCTGTTGCCTGGACATATTCCCTGCAGCAAATATATGTTATTAGTGTTGCTAGAATATTCTATTCACCAAAAACCAACCCTTGACGTAATTAATATTATCATTAACGAGCAAATAAATGAAGGAATAAATTAAGAATAAGGTTCAGTAATTTTTGCAACTAATTTCAAATACAACTGACTAATTTGTAATCTTAATTTACGACAGGGACAGGAGGACGACGACGGTCCAAAACTTAGAATTAATTTGCAAACCAAAATTGTTGTACAACTGAGGCTGCATGCAAACTAGGCAAACTACGTGCTTACTGCGGAGGTTCAATGTAGTAAAAACAATATAAATAGGTACATACGCAGAATTTACAAATCCATACTCTGTTTTAACATGACTTTCAATTTCATGTCATGAAGTCCTACAAAACATTGAATCATAAAACCGCAAACAGTAAAGGATATTATGAATTAAATTTGTTGATGTAAGGCCTATTTGTGTTTAATTACAATACGCGTCTTAATTTAGAGCCGTGTAAACGGATGACTCTTCGACGCGTCCACTGCACTGGCAGTGAATTCTTGGTACAATTTCAAGTACATAGTACGATATCAACTCAATCGCAATAACCGACGACGGATACAAAGTGGCGCGATTGCAATGGCATTGGACGGAATATCTGACGAGATGCTGAGACGGCCGTTGGAGCCGCAGGGTAACGACAACGATTATGTC